GAAACTCTGGTAGAATCAGTGAAACGGGTCAGAAACTCTGGTAGAATCAGTGAACCGGGTCAGACGGGCTCAGGGTTCCAGCTTCTCTCTGACTCTTTATTCCCTCAGCAGCTGCTGGATGAAGCTGCGTTTCCAGAACGACGACCTTCGTCTCCTTCAGACCCGTTTAACAAACGTCTCAGCAGCTCAGAGCAGAAACAGTTTGTCTGGTTAGCAGGAATCAGGTTTCTGCTCATTCAGGCATCTGGCAGCACAAACAGAGAAATACTGACCCAGATCAGCTGGACCGGGTCGGATTGTTCAGACTGATGGCAGCTTGAAGCAGCTCAGACTGTCAGACTGATCAGACATGTTTTATTTGATCAGGTTTCCTCTGATCAGCAGGAAAACCTTCATGTTCATCAGCTGGTTCTGATTGAGCTGCTTTCTAGAGAAGGAGCTGCTGGGTCAGTGGTTCTGGTCGGAGTGAGGAGTTCTGTGGGCAGGTGAACTGGACCGTCTGCAGATTCTTCCCCCCATACACTAGTCTGTTACTGATGGAGTTAGTGTTTATTTTTCATTTTATAGTCTGGTTTTCCTCAGTGAAAAACCCGTACCAGGAACCTCACAGGGTCTGTAACGTCTGATACCAGAACATTGTACGAGATTGTCATCAGGCCTATCAGCTCGCTGTCTGTCTGAAGATGCTCATTATGTAATAAATTAGATTAAATTATTGAAAAGTTCACAGTGCCTGTGTTCATCTCCACTACATGCAGCTACACTACCTTGGTCAGTGTAGATAAACTGCTGACAGTAAATCTGTATGTGAAGGTTCTGTTATAATATCTTTTCTACATTTTTCTCAGGAGTTTCTTTTTTTCTATTAAGATGTCTGTAATATATGGATGACTGTTGTTTTGTGTTATTCAAACTGTTATTAAATGAGGAATAAACCTAATCTATTCAGTTCTTCCTTCCATCTCTGTCTTTCAGGTGTTCATGTTGTCCAGAAGATGTACGGCTGTGAGTGGGATGATGAGACTCAAAAGGTTACTGGTTATCGACAGCATGGCTATGATGGAGAAGACTGGCTAATATGGAGCACGGAGTCAAACACATGGATTGCTCCAAAACAACAGGCTGTACTTACTACAAACAAATGGAACAATGACAGAGGTTGGCTGGAATCTAACAAGAACTACCTCAACCAGATTTGTCCTGAGTGGGTGAAGAAGTATGTTGACTATGGGAGAAGCTCTCTGATGAGAACAGGTACCGTCACATATCCTGACTTTTTATGTAAATTGATTATCTGAGTATCTTGTTTTACTAGATTTTGTCATTTTGACTCAATGACTGAAGTCTGTGTTTCTGAGGCTTGTCTCCAGTTCTGACACATTAATATATTATTTTCATTAGTCATGAATCATTATAAACTGTTAATATTTGAACGTTGTGTTTCTGTCTCCAGTGCGTCCCTCAGTGTCTCTCCTCCAGAAGTCGTCCTCCTCTCCAATCAGCTGCTTCGCTACAGGTTTCTACCCCAACAGAGCTGAAATGTTCTGGAGGAAAGATGGAGAGGAGATTCATGATGGTGTGGAGAAAGGAGAGATCGTCCCCAACAATGATGGGACCTTCCAGATGAGCGTTCACATCGATCTGTCATCTGTTCCAACTGGAGACTGGAACAAGTATGAATGTGTGTTTCAGCTCTCTGGAGACAAGGAAGACGTGACCCATAGACTGGAGAAAACAAGAATCTTGACCAATGAATGTACGTATTTATATAAATGTATCTATTTATAGATAAATACCTGCTAATTAGAAAATTCTATATGACTTGTTTGTGTTGTTAAATTTACTTTCTGTGTTAGGGCTCAGAATCAGAAGCAGTTCTTTTTAGGATTGTTTTAAATAAATGTTCTGCAGGATAAATGTTAAAACAAGTTATTTACTGCTAATACAATGTTTATGTGTATTTTAAACAATACCAAATTCAACCAACCTTTCAAGTCCATTAATATTCATGTTTCAGGTTATATTAAAGTTAAAAACAACTTTATGACATTTAAAAATAGCTGTTAATTATTAATGAAGTAACAACTTACAATTATAGTTGCTGAAAGAAAATACATTGGAGCCAAGAAACCAGAACTAAACAAAAACCTTTTCATGGTGTTTAGATGAAATGGCATAAAGAAACATCTACATGATTTTAACCTGGTTTGTTTTCTCAACAGCAAATATCAGCATTGTGATCATCCCTGTTGTTGCTGCTGTGGCTGTTCTTGGTCTCATTGCTGTGATTGGATTCATTGTTTACAAGAAGAAGAACGGTGAGTTGGTCAATTTCTTTGTTTTTCTGTATTTTGATTGTTGAGCTTTAACAAGTGAGAAACAGACCTGCTTAAACATTGAAGCTTTATATTAACTTTAGACAGTGTCACTGATGTTTAGCCATCATTTAGACCTACGTATTTATCTTAGGTTTAAACCAGGCAATACTTTCTAGTCTAAAAGTAATCTAAATTTAGATTTAGGGCCATGCAACACAAATGTGGAAGTGACAGAAAACTTGATCAAAAACTCAAAGATCAGCTTCATTTGAGTTAGTATGAAAGAATTTGATCCTTTTTCTGATGTTAAATTATTGTAATTAGGTTAAGTTTGCATAAAAAGGATCAGCAGTTTCTTTATTTGAGAACTAAAAATTGAAAGGATAGCGGTAAATATGATTATAATATTTGTACTTGAAGACTGGAACCTGCATTTTAATTTAAATCCTCCTGAAACATTTGAGCTGCACATCCTGCTGTTTGCTGAATATGACCAGATATGAAGTGCCATTAGTTTTCTTAAAAATTCAAATGTCAGTTAATCAGCATCATAATTTCCAAACTGAGCTCCTCTGTGACTGAGTTTGTTTGTAACACAGATTATTCAGAGCTCATAGATTATTTCTAAGGCAGATCAGAAACTGATCATTTCTAATTGTAAAAACTGTTCTCAATTCATACAAGAATAAAATCAGACTAAATCTGCTGAATTAATAGATTACTAATAAAATTAATGACATTCTCTAGTATTACTGGTAGGAAACAGTAGTTGAGGAATAGTGAGTTTCACAGGTTAATTTTTTTTGTATTTAATTATAATAAAATCTGATGATGTCAGCTAAAACCAGTTATGGATGTCAAAAATGTACCATATTAGAACCAAATATCTACAAAATCTAGCCTAGAGATCCATGAATTATTTGGATCATGTTCATCTGAAATGCTTGCTGGGTTGTTGTCTCTGTAGAGAATGACAGAATTGAAGGGACTTTTTAAATCTAAAGTTGTTTTTTCTATTTGTTTCAGCCAAACGTCCACCTTCTCGTAAGTAAAGCTTCTCACTATTTAGTCTGTTTATATCCTTAGCTTTGTAATTTTAAAAAAAATCTATTTTATGGATGTTTTCTGTACATTTTACATCGATTTGTAGCAGAACATTTATTCACATGGTTTCTGATGTTGCAGCTGTGGACGGTCAGCCTCCAGAGGAAACCCAGTTTCTGCCACAAGCATGAAAAAGCAGAAACAGACAAATGCAAACAAGTGAGTCGCTGAATGTTGAATGAAGCTTCTTTTATTAAACATAAGGCCTGTATGTAAAAACAAAACTTTGTTTTACCTGTATTATGCAACATTTTTTTAATTATTATTAAAATATTCTCCAAATTTTCTTTAATCTCCACTTTTGGAAGATATTCATTCAGTTTTACTCTTTGGAAAGGATAATGGATATGACCAAACTATTTTCTAACTGAACATTCTGACTTTGTAAAGCTTACATAAAAAGACACTTATTGTTTTCAGTAGAATGTTTTTATGGATCATATCGAATATAGAGAGGATCCTAAAACTGATCAGAGAAGCTTTAACAGAGCTTCAGAAGCTGTGGTTGGATTTTAATTAACTTAAAACAGAAACTCAAAGCAATCTCCTTACAGCACAAAAAGCAGAATAAAAGGAAATGAAAATAAACAATTTAAATTTAAGAGAAATTTTCAGATGGTCCAGAATCATCAGTATAAGATCATCAGCACAGAGCAAAGGAAGCCAAGAGATTTACATAAAGGCAGACAAAACCAAAGACCCAACAGATTATAGGGACTGAAGTCAACATGTTTATGAATTTGTTAAGCTCACCTCTGGAAGGCGGTACAAAGCATTTTATAAGAACTTATTTGTCCCAAATGGAATAATGTTAATTGTTTACCATTAATTAGATTTGAAGTTGAGTCTATTGCTGGAGAGAAAGTTTGTAATGTTGTTTTTTTTTATGTTTTTAGCCACTATTATTATTATTATTCTGCCTTTGAATTTATTTTTGTATTATTAGCAATTTACTCTTAAACAGAAGTTTTGACTTCATCACAACTTTTGGTTTCTGTTGATTTCAAAGGATATAATTCTGTTTATCTTGTTTTATTAAATGTACAAAATTCCAGTACTTTCTTCTTGACTGAATCTTTTGTCTTTTTGTTTCTGTAGGTTCATCAGTTTGCACTGACCAATAAATGGCACAACTTTCTCTTTTTCTGGCTAAATTGTATTTCATGTAATATTGGACATTATACATGAACTCACTCAAATGCTGTTAAATCAAATGGGAGTTATTATACTATTTTTATTATCTGGAAAAACATTGATAATCATTTTTAAATAATTTCAACAAAGCTTAACTTTTCAGTCAACAGTTATTCTGACAATTGGAGTTTATATCTGCAAACATTTTATCTCTGGACATGTTGGCTAAGGTAATATAAGATATTGTGTTTATGTGTGTCAAACCTTTTCTTATCCAAAAACTATCAACACATTAATCGTTCTGGCTGTAATATAGTTACAGGGTTAAGTTTTGCCTCAGTGATACATTTGATTTGTAGATGTGGCAATATTCACCTGATTCTCATAAATATTTTGGTTTTGGGTAAATTATATATTGTTTCTTTAATCACTGTCAGCTTAGTTTCTATTGCTTATTTGATCTGTTAAGTTTTATTTTAATTTTAATTAAAAACTTTAAAAGGGCTTTCTTCAGTTGCTTCTCTCTAATGTAGACAGTAAAATATTCTGCAAAGATTTTTTTTCTGGTTTATAGACGTGATCTGTGGCTGAATTTCTTATGTTGAGTTTGGTAAATTGGTGTTATGTTGAATCTGTCCTTGTAAATTTGGTTTGATTTTAAATAAATTTTCACTTAATCCAACATCTTTGCCTTTTATATTGTTAAGTTGTGATTGAGTTTCAGTGTGTACATCAGAGACAAGTTTCAAATGCTGTTTATCAATTGTATAAATGACCCAGAGGACCTGACCTAAAGATACCTTTATGATATTCTTAAACAGTAACTTTCATAGTCAGGGTAGTATATCTTTTTATTTGACCTTTTCCTGTATATTTTTTGCTAACGTTAGTGGTGGGTATTGTTTCTCTCAGGCATACATTGTATTGCATAATTAAGTAAATGTTATCTTCAGTTATACAAATGCTGTATGTGTATCACACAACTTAAAAGAAATTTGACTTCGCAATATAACACCTTGAAATTGGGCCTCTGTCTCTTTAAGAAGCTCCCACTCTTTCAGACACTACGCCTTCATCAGGTCTTCACGGCAGTGCTTCTCATTATGCTGTTTACAGCCATTCTTAGGAGCTTTGGACTGAGAAGTAGTTTGCATGATAAATTCAGCAAACGCGTAATTCCACCAGGTGTTTCCTTATCGCTGCTGCTACTCTGCTCTGTTGGGCAGAAGCTCACATATTGAAGCACACAGACCTGTGAGATTCATGTCCCATATTAAAGGTAGAGTAAACCTTTTGCATGTGGACTTTTCATGTCCACATTTGTAACCCTACAAAGAAAACACCGACCAGAAGCTATTTTGCCATACATCCAGAGTGGAGAGCAGAAAAGCTTCCAAACTTGTGACGTGAATGGGGGGCTGCTGTCCGACAGGATCTCCTGAAGTTGAAAAACATGTTTAATAAGTAGTTGAGAAGTCTGGGAAGTTTTCTGAAAGGAATGAGGTGGCAAGACTTATAAAAACAATCAATTGCAGTGAAGATGGTGGACGTACCTCTGGAAACAGGAAGCTCGGTAACAAAATCTATGGAAATGTGCAACCAGGTACTTTTGGATATGGGTAAAAGTTGGAGAAAGCCGGCTGGTGGCTGATGAGATGGTTTGTTTCTGGCACAGATGGGTCAGGCGAGTACATATTCTTTTACATCTTTGTGTCAAGAAGGACACTAGAAGCGGCAGCACTGTAATCTCTACGCTGTAGAGTCACAGCATTCTTTCAAAAGAATGGCTGTTGGTTTTTATCAGTTTGGTGGGTTTTCTATTAATATGCATCTATCATGATTGTTCCTATTCCTATATTGATATAGAATAGAGAGATATCTCTCTATCTTGAGATACATATCCACATGTGCACACCTAGAAGGAAACAAACACACCCAGTATAACACCTGCATTTTCTGTTCCAAGCATGAGCAGAAAATGATTTGCAAGTGAGCAGAGAGGATTGCAAGTGGAGATTTGATCCGAGCAGAGACAAGTTTTGAGCGCTAGAGAAAGGTTTGAAAAAGCAAAGAGAGTATTTGAAAGAGAGCCGGGGCCTCATGCATAAAGAGTACACACAAAAAATGTCATATTTTACACCAAGCCAGCATGTATAAAAATGAATTTTGCGTCAAAGTTTGTGTAAATATACGCACACTTTTTTGTTGGCGTGAAAATGTGCGGCAGCCACTCTGAACAATATCAAACTACAAAGCATTAACACACCTAAATATACTGAAATCTAACTATATTCAGTGTTATTTGGACCAGGAAGCATCAAACCCAATGTTTTTTTTTAAATGTTTTTTATTGTTTGAATGTAAGCAATGAAACTGAACCACATTTATCCTCAGACAACATAACATGCAGACAAAATAGAGAAAATAAAAAGATGTAAAAAACCTCACTCGAATGTAAATGGTAGTTTTACCCAGTTTTTGTCTCATAAAGATGTAACACATCGGTCTGTGCACCAAAGCGCATGAAATGCATCAACACTGTAAACCCTAACAAGTCCACAGAACTCAAAAAAATACAAAAATATTTTAGTGATGTTTTAAGTTTACATAAAATAAAAATTACAGGTGTAGTTGCCTTAAATTCTCTCAACATTGCCTTATAAATATTGATATTTCTCAATTTATGATTAGGAAAAATTTCACTTGAAATTTTCTATATATTCAGCTCATAAAATGCTGGAAATAAACTCAAAATTTTTGAGTTTCTTCAGCTTATATAATGTTGGAGATACACTGACATTTTTCAACATTCCTTAACTCAATCTGGGGGACATGCACTCAAAATTAACCCTATACTGAAATAGTGAAGTGACACCGCAGTGACAATTGAACAACTTTTTTTTATCCATTTTTTGTGATTCAATACAATGTGCTTTTTAAGAGGAACAAATCAAAGTAACACGGTCAAAACAAAGTGCTTGTTATAAATAAAAAAAACAGAAAAGGAGATGACTTCAGCACCTTATGATAAAAACTCAAAGGATTCATGATAAGATTCAAAATTATACGTTGTAGGACCACTGAAAAGTATTTAATCCTCAATGACAATACAGATGCTCTCAGGGCTGCATCAATATTATCATCTTTGACGTCTGTCAGAAGAGCCATCGGAGTGTCCGTGAGGTCTGGACCATCTGCTGATTCCAAAACACAAAGAATGAGTTCAGTTCCTCAAGGACACAAATCATGCTAATGATGTCTAGACATTACCGTCACTTAGCACTTTGGACTTAGACTGCAACTGAACTACATGTTTAACCAATTGTCTTTACTTATATCTTATGTTAGTTAGCATACTTTTTGTTTAGTGAAATTTACACTTACCTTTTAATGTATGTAATTGTTATACGTCAGTTTGCAGAAAAACAAATAAACTTCATAAACAGGTCCTATTCCAGAACAAACCCTGAACTGAGTCGACTTACTCTGTGAAATAATACATAATGATAATTAAATATACTAATTATACACTATATGACACTAATTATAGTAAAAATGGAAATGTTCAAAAATTAGCAAGTTAGTTATT